TCGTAGGCCAGCTCCCGCCTGACGGATACGACTTTAGTCTCAGGTCACCGCTAGGGGTTCGAACCTAGGCAGTACCCCAATCCAAAGGCCCCGGATGTGTGCGCGTGTACCCACACGCCTCTACAATGGAGTAGGGCGAAATAGGTCGCCCTAACCACATAACGAGATGGGGCCTGCCCTACAGCATCTACAGGGCGGGCCGTCGCCGTCGGAGCTGGGGTAGAAATGCACTTGCGAATCCCCTGGCTATAATATAGGCGCTCGTAGGTACACCGTGTGGTTTTTGGTGAGTACAAATCTCACACACCGCCCCGCCCTCCCTCCGGCGGGGTGACGGTCTTTTGAAGATTTTCCACACGTTAAAAAAAAAAAAAGGGGGTTCGAACCTCAGCTCAGGCCGTCATAATTTCGATCGATGAATTGGACGGGGATCCATCGGAGTACTTATTGTGGTACTGTTCATGTATAGGTGAAGATTACCACTTTCCCATAAGTTTCTTTCCCATTCCACTATCTTTACATAGTATAAAATGATGTCGTTTCCGCTGTCTGTTTGCTTAGATCTTTAAAACAACGTAATGGATTTTAATGCAGTTTTCAGCAATACCCAGGACAATTAACACTGCGCCATCTAGTCCCACCTTAAGCAGAGCTTGTGTTATTGGTACTAGCCAACTGATATAAATACTTAGATGTATTTTTTTGGTACATACATACATAATATACATAGCAAACACCCATACCGATACAAATAATCATACTCATGAATACAAATATTTGCGAGGAATCGAAACCGCGACCATCGGAAGTAAAGCGGCGTGCTAAACCGCTGGACTAAGGAGGTCGTCAAATTATATATATAATACATGCGTATAATAGTATAGAACAAGCTGAGAAATTCAAGGATTTGTAATTTGTTGATGAATTGTGTACATCCGTGCGGGGGGAAAGGGTATTGTTAGGGGGGGAGGGGGGGGAAGAGAATTGTTAGTAATGTGGAATGATGATCTCATTGCTAGCAATATACCATGTCAGGTTGACCTCCACGCGGTTCCTCCTGGAAACCATCGTTATAAATTCTTCATGAATTTGTCACGATGGGCAAAGTGACCTGACCTCATACTCATCTTATCATCTTCCACTGGTGTCCCAGCGTAAACCGTTAGCGCAGGCGGGTGCACCATTCCATATTCACCCATAAAAAAAAATGCATCCATGTGAAGCCGGAACGGGTCGGTAGTAATATATAAAAAAAGTATATATACCCGGATACTGTAAACACAGAGTGCAATAAACAACTGAACTCATAATATATGAATCATCATCCGGTTTACGAAATTATAATTTCTCAAGATGCAAATAAAATGCGTAATACAAAACCGGCATGCTAGGCTCTAGATGTTGTTGTAAATTTACAGCTATTTTATTATGTAATGCAATGTCTTAATAATGTTATATACTCGAAAGTTTGTGGGTTTGGATGGATGGATCGATGCTTGTAACTCTTTCACGGAAAAACTACTGAAATATATAACTAATACATCAATATAACATATAATTTAAAAAGATATTATGTAAATAAATAATAAAATTTAAAAAAAATTGAACGAAATGTAATTAAATGGTAATAAATGTCAATGAAGAGTGATGCAAACGAAGTTGTGCGAGTCAGCTAGTATTCAATAATGAAATCATACTCTCTTAATTGGAAAATAAAAAAAATATACCTAGGAAACTATTGTGAATAATTCCTGGTACAACCACGATGACACACTAACCTAAATTCAGACTCGTCCTATCATCATCCACTGGTGCCCAACCAGCGTATACAATTACAGCCAGTGGTTATTCCACCAATGTCTTGCGCCCACACGGTTCCACAATTGAGTAGAGTGAAATAGGTCACCCTAACAACGGTATAGGACTTGCTCTACACCATCTATAGGGCGGGTCAACGCCTCTGCAGGGCCGATAGAATGGTAATCCGAACTCATTTGTGTAGGTTCAATAGGTCGCCCTAACGACGATATAATACAATTACAGCAAGTGGTTATTCCACAATGTCTTGCGCCCACATGCTTCCACAATTGAGTAGACTGAAATAGATCATCTTAACGACGATATAGGGCCTGCCCTATACCAACTACAGGGCGGGCCAACGCCTCTGCAGTCACGATAGAATGGTAATCCGAACTCATTTGAGTAGGTTCAATAGGTCGCCCTAACAACGATATAATACAATTACAGAAAGTGGTTATTCCACCAATGTCTTGCGCCCACACGCTTCCACAATTGAGTAGAGTGAAATAGGTCACACTAACAACGATATAGAGGCGTTGGCCCGCCCTGTAGATGGTGTAGGGACACCATCTACAGGGTAGGCCAACGCCTCTGCAGTCGCGATAGAATGGTAAACCGAACTCATTTGTGTAGGTTCAATAGGTCGCCCTAACAACGATATAGGGCCTGCCCCATAATACCGTCTTTATCATAAGGGCACACGGGGCCCGTGCCCAAAGCCCCCATTCTCAGGGATCCCCCGAAGGACTGTCAAGTTTTCTCACACATTTATTCTCAAATTATTTTTGCCGGCCACACTACACTTTTTTCACAAATCAGTAATTTTATTGTTCTTATACCTTTGAAGCTATATGAGCTTTTTTTTTTACTTTCCAAACGGGCCTCGTATTCTTGTGTGCCTAAGGGCCCCAGCTCAGTTTAAGACAGCGGTGCTGCCCCATTTACTCTCCTATGGAAGGTATTTTGCTCATATTTCTAAAGCTTATTTATATTTTATGAAAACTTCAACCTGTTTCTTCCTGTTTCCACGCAAGGTTAACACATAAAGGAGATATCGAAAATTTTTACGATTTTATTATATGTACAAATAAAAGTGTATAAATCAAAAAACATAGCACAGTCTAATAATGAATTTTAAAATCCTATTTTGAAATATCTTGTATATTTGTATTGAGAAAATAGTTCTCAATACAAATATACAAGATATTTCAAAATAATGCAATAGCATTATTATAATTACTATGTCAAAGAAACTTGATTTTTATTGGATACGGGGAAAACCTAGAACACTTTTAACGCTTCGCAATCGGTAAAGCCGCTACCACAGTTTACAAAACCATCAGTATCTCTGAGTCACAGTTTACGTTCATATTTCATACAACAAAATACCAGTGGCACAATTTATATATGTGTAGACACCAAATATATATATGTATAGACAAATAATGATATAAATATTGACTGACGGAATCGGTCGTCTATCGGTTTAGCACACCGTTTTAATTCCAATAGTCGTAGGTTCGATTCCTGCCACGATTCAAACAATTTATTAGTATGATTGTTTATATTGGTCTGGCTGTTTTAAATGCATATTATATACATATTTACAGAAAAATATCTAATTATACTTGTCAGTTATCTAAATTATAAATACTGACAGCCTGACAGACATATCTGATGGTCGCGGGTTCGATTCCTCGCATGCACACAAACATTTGTATTCATGAGTATGATTGTTTGTATCGGTCTAGGTGTTATCTATGTCTATTATGTAAGTATTTACATATTTTTGTAATTAAGTATTTCTTACAGTTGTCTAGTATATACAACAGAACGTGTACTTACCTAGGTACTTGATGGCGCTATGTGAATTATCCTGAGTTATTATTGTAATAAATACATCAATACATATAAATAAAATTGGAGTGTCTGTTTGTAATATTGAAATAACCGTTTTTTACTACATGCATATGTATATAAACATACGCCAAAAGAACATTTTTTACAATTTTTGTCTGTCTGACTGTTTGCTCCGGCTAATCTCTGAAATGGCTGGACCGATTTGACGGGACTTTTTTTGGCAGGTAGCTGATTTAATAAGGAGTAACTTAGGCTACTTTTATTTTAGATTTTTTCTAGTTTAGAAAAATATTATTAATAAAAATATTTAATAGGTAAATTAAAATGAATAATATGTATGAAATGACACATATTATATGACATATAGATATATGAAATTAGTATATTAGATATGTTAGTAATATATATATGTTGATTTAAATTAAGATGTGAAAAAGCAAGACATAGTTAGATTAGATAGAGCAGATATAGATAGAATATAGTTATATATATATTTATGTACAGATATATTATATATTATCTAATACCTGAAGAATCCACAGGAATCTAGAACCTTCCGTCACATTCTAGAATATTTTCAAATTTATATGCTTCTTCTATGTTTCTACCTATGTCTTGCCGAACGACCACATCGGAGCTCAATTTAGTGCTGGTAAGAACGTGCCGTAAGCATAGTATTAGTAAAAATAACTGTGCGAGAGTAGTTCAAATAATTATATATTTTATAATAATTCTATTAAAGTTTATTTTAGTAAATTCTAATATTTCATTTCTAAAATTTTCATTAGAAAATGAAGCATTTGATTATATACATAGGTTGCTAACTAAATTGTCTGGATTCCCTTCCACAAGACATAGTTTTATAGATGGTCAGATAAAAAAAATATGACTTATTAAAAAGTGCTTGTATTGAGTTTAATTGAATAAAAATTATTTATATTTCTACGTATCTATTTACAATAGGATAATAATAGAACCGGTCCCCAATATAATTAATCTTTTTGTAGTATAATTCCTTTCAGTGTATATAAATTTGATTTTAAAACAGAATTAACATATAACAGCTTTGGTAATGGTATACCTTGGTAGGTAGTAAAAGAAATCAAAGACCTTAGGCCTTAATGCGTAAATAAAGACTTATTTACACGCAGTAAAAATATTTTAGTTATATCTGATTGCTACCAAGACATAAATTTCTTTTAGTATCAATTCCTTTAGTTGATATTAAAGATAATTTGTTAGCACCTTATTTAAAGTGAATCGACAGGTTTTAGTTATTTTTACTGATATCTACGCTACAACATGTAAGTGCACGTCGTTAAACCACGAAATCCACTTACTTTCATCATTTATAACTGGTCCGTAACTCAATCCTTCGTTCGATGCGAAATCTATGCTGTTCGAATCGTGAACTCCGAGTAAACCAGCTTTCGCGACTCTGTGACAGCACCCTTTCAGCAGACCACCACAAGAACCTTCTAGAAGTCCCCCAACCATCCAGCAGTAGATAAAGAACTCACAGGTCCCGCCTTGCGAGCACCTTTTGTCGTCTTGTCGATCCTCTGTAGCCTTTATAGGCATCGTTAGTGCTTCAATATTCGTATCACTTACACTACTATCTATTAGGCGGCCTTTTCTCACTTTGTTTGTATGTTTGTTTGTACTATTCAATAATTCTTTTAGTATCTGATTGATTTTCATCACTTGCTCGTCAGATATAGGTTTGAACTTGGGCAGTTTTTGTGTTGTATTAGGAAATACGTAATAATCGTTCCTTCTCAAATATGATATGGTTCTTCCGTCCGTTTGTACGAACATGGGTTTCTCTAGTGTTATTCCTTTGAGTTTTTTTGTTACGTTCTGTGTAACGTCGAATTGAGCTCGATGTGGATCGTTGGCATCTGTTTGAATTAAAAATATTAATTTAAGTATGTTACAATTAATGAAAGCAAGCAAATGATCATTAAGATGATAATTAATTGAAATGATTAAGTTTTCATTATGGATAATAGTTATATCATAGATGTAATATACTTATATATAAGATGATACCAAATTATCTGCATTCCAAGAGCATAGTGTTAGATATATATGTATACTATATAATTACGATAATACTGGAACGTTAATATTAATAAAATTAATTCTATTCATAATAAAATTCCTTCATTGCGTGTAAATTAGTCTTTATTTAGGTACTAAGGCAGTTCATTGTTACCATATAAAAACTATCGAAGAATACTGTTACCTAAGCGACAATAGATCTTTTTTAAAAGCCCGTAATTCAGTTTATTTTTTATATCATTTTAAATATTGAAGAAATACCAAATAAAATAGCAGCCCACCTGATGATTGAGAACAGACAATAGATAAATCACGTTATCATGTGATATCCCGTAGCATTATTGATTGTATGAAAAAAAATTGCTATAATTTAAAGTTTATTAGGAACATGATTTTTTTTCGTTATCGTAATATATATAGTATGATATATAGAAGGAAATGTAGATAATTTAGTAGTTATAGTAGTACCGCTCAATATATGAGAAAAACTTTAAACCAGTTAGTATAAATGTGCCAAATATGATAGTGTCTGAACGGTGTGATAGAAAATAAATGAGACGACAGTATAATCAAAGGACAGATGAATTAACAAATGACCAAACCTAATGACGTACACATCAAATTGCAAGCGGTTATTATGGGTACTGTCTACCCCATTTCCAGCAAGGTTCTGACTTCCACTTGGTCCCTGAAAACTGTGTTAAATACTGGTGAATTCGCCTAAGTAGGCAGTAAAGTCTATTTTATATCAATTTGTCTCAAGTAGTACATAGTAGACCATATTTTTAAACTATAAATTTAAACAGTATTAAGGTTTTATTGTCAAAGATTATACTTCTATGTATGTGTATGTGTGTGTGTCAAATACATGGTACTTTGTGTGTTTTTTTATTGATTTAATGTAGTTTTAAGCATGATTTTCAAAAATATTAGAATCCTGCACTTCCTCTTTATATAAACTGTAAGTGTGCGAAATTTTACGCTCCTCCATCTGCGCAAGTTTTGAAAATGGATACAATGTTTCTTCATGTAATAATGTTAATCAATTATGAAGTGAATCAAAGTCAAAACTCAAATATAAAATTATTTGTTAACATAGCACCTTTCCACCTCTTGTGCACGTCATATTTTTTATCACGTTGGGTGCGTTAGATATAGTGATAAAAAATATGACCCTAAATTATATTTAAGTATTACAACTTGTAGGTCTTATACACTAAAGTACTCTAATTAAACGCTTATAAACTAAAAAAAATATATGTATATTAGTAGACCCCTCAAGCATTGTTTTGCCATATACATTGAAATCGCTATTAAAAAATTGGGGGTGATGGTAGAGGGGTGAAAATTTTGGATTGTGTGTAAATTTAATGCCATTTTATAAAAAAATTAAAATTAAAAATTTTGTCCAAAAAATAAGAAATAAAATATTAGGGGTGGGTAACCCTTATCACTTAGGCGTATGAAAATTAGATAGTAGCCGATTCTAAGACCTAATGATATATAACATTTCATAAAAATCGGTCAAACCGTTTCGGAGGAGTATGGTAAGTAACATTGTGACACGAGAATTTTATATATAATATATATGTATGTATGTGCTAACAATATGTAACCTGTTGTTTATTAATGTCGCTTTCACATACAATATATATATATATTAAAGGTGTCTGTCAGTATATATACGGATTTAATTACCACTACGTGCCGCCATTTTGTCGCTACGTCAAACTCATTTCGTTAAGACACCGTAATATATACTGTAATAGAGCTATACTTTGTACAAAGAGGTACCTATCTACGCAGACAAGCTACTTGACGGCTGGAATAGATGACAAACAGCTTGCTTGTAAGATGAATCCCATCAAAAACATAAATGTGAAATGAAACCCAAGTTCAATATTATGATATATGCCTTGGTTATTGACTTCAACGACAAAAGAAATGAGATCTAAATAGGTGCCAAGTTCAATGGTCAGTCCTGAAATTTATTTATAACTAACAACTAATACGCGACTTCGTCGGCGTGGAATTTTACTTTATTTTTCTAAAATGAAAGTTTTTTTATAAAATGAAGGTAGTTTAAGTTACTCCTTATTACAAACAAAACGAACACTTAAACTTAAGCAAACAGACAGACGAAAATTGTAATAAATGTTATTTTGGTGTATGTAACGTATTTATATTCATATGCATATAGTAAAAAACGGTTATTTCAATATTACAAACAGACTCCAATTTTATTTATATGTATAGTAACATAAAATATCATTTCTTCTTATTACTTAGGATAATATATTTTAGTCTAAGGTCTGACTTGGCTAGTTCTCATATACTTGTTTGATGTAAATATAAGAGATCAGCAAAAACAAATAGAGAGACTAGTTTTTTTTATTTAATTTATTACACACAAGTAACAGCTGGTTATATCATAAAAATAGATAAGTTAATTTTTATTATCTGTAAATAATAATTATCACAAGTTTAACTTGTCATAATCTTTGTAAAGAAATAAATACATATACACAAAGAAATAATAACATTAATCATTATTAAATTTGTATATATACATACATATGTATGATAATTGCTCGTTATGGGTAATATAAAAGTTACATAATTGTATATTACGATATAAGTGCGTTATGATGGTTATAACACACGAGGCGGAATAGAGCCGAGTGTGTTAAGTACGCACGTATACCGTACGTCGCTTTTACAACACACTTGATACTAATATTATAAATCTGAAAGTCTGTTTGTACGTTCTTTTTCACGATTACAGAACGGTTCTTATTGCTTGTCGTAAAGATAATAAGGATGCTTATTTAAAATCTATTGTTTTAAGCAACGGCTAGTATTAAAAACGATAAAGTTTGTCAGAATATACAGGTGGGTTTCTCATTCACACAAAACTACTAGACTGCATATAATAAGATTTTGTATACTTACAGATCATATTATTTTTTATAGCGTAGAAAATAAACGAGCTTGCGACTCACCTATGGGCCATCTATTGACCTAGTATTATACATATAAACCTTTCTCTAGAATCACTCTATCTATTTAAAAAAACCGCTGCAAAATCCCTTGCGTAGTTTTAAAGATTTAAGCCTGCATAGGGACGGACAGACAGCGACAGCGACTTTGTTTTATACTATGTAACGATAATGATTTATAGATGTGTACTAAAAGCGAAAGTTTAAAAGTACCTATCTACTTCATAAATATTGCAAATTGTATTTTTATATAAATTAAAAATTTATAGATACGACAGATGTAGCGGTATTTTAACAGTTAAGGCTCGTAATTTGATAATTATCTAAACGCATATTATTAAATTATTTCCTATATATGTACATGTGTATGGAAAACTATACTCAAGACAAGTGATTGGTGTCATTGACACATTGTGAGAGTAAGACGGAAGGTATAATATGCAACGAGTGAAAGAGACACGTATATGTGTGTCTGTATGCATTCACGAGTTGGATCGTGGTAGTGAAATCCAGTTAAGGGCAATAAGTTAATCTATAACTATGTAATATTATGTTATTTGTGCTATCTATACATACAAATAAAATTGGAGTGTCTGTTTGTAATACTGAAATAACCGTTTTTTAATACATGCATATGAATATAAATACGGCATATACACCAAAATGACATTTTTTTAAATTTTTGTCTCTCTGTCTGTTTGTTCCGTCTAATCTCTGAAATGGCTGGAGTGATTTTGACGGGACTTTTTTGGCTCCTTATTACATCAGCTACCTGATATAATAAGGAGTAACTTAGCCTAAATTACTCCGTTACTTTTATTTTAGAAAAATAAAGTTAAATTCCACGTGGACGAAGTCGTCGTGATCGAATCGAACCTAAAAGATCAAAGAAAAAAATTTCAAATTTTCGTCTCCCCTCTCAGCATCTTTCAACCGTATTTGCGCATTAAAAAGTAGCCTATATCGTTTCTCAGATTCGACTTCAGGTTAGACTATCTGTGTAATAAATTTCTTTTAAATCGATTCAGTTATATGTCGTGAAACAGACAGACAGAGTTACTTTCGTATTAAATATTAATACTATCTCTGTAATAAATTTCATTTAAATTGATACAGTAGTTATATGTCGTGAAACAGATAGACAGAGTTACTTCGTATTAAATATTAGTAAGGATTAGGTATTAAATTAATTTAATTTACTTTAATTAAAACATGAAGATATCTTAACATACCCTTAAGTTGCTACACTCACTCTATCCACAACTGTTTAACAAAAATGCAGCGGTAACGGTAAATATAGATATATTACGTTTATTACACAACACGCATCCTAATACCGTTACAATATGCGTTCTAAGTTACGTTTTAAGTTTAACTCACTAGTTAAGTTGACGGCAGATTAATATCGAGTAAACGATGGTATAACCGCCAGTTAAAGTTAAAGTTCTTACAAAATTCACGTGTCACAATGTTAGTTACCATACTCCTCCGAAACGGCTGGACAGATTTTTATGAAATTTTTTATGCATATGCAGTAGGTCTGAAAATCGGCTACCGTCTATTTTTCATGCCCAAGTGATAATAGTTGTCTACCCCTATAATTTCTTTTTCGGACAAAAATTTATTTATTCTTTTTTTATAATGTATACGTAATACATATAAGATCTAAATAATTTTTGATTGTTTAATAATCATTTATCATTAACCGATTATTCTTTACTGCTCTGCACTCACAACCTCAATATTTGTATCTGTATATAGTAGTTATTTTTATACTAGCTACTCGCCGCGGCTTGCCCGAATGTACATGTATTATATATATAAACCTTTCTCTTGAA